CAGGCAAAGGAATGTGTCACCAAATGGACCACGAAACGGCAATAGTGAGGGATCATCGTCCGTACCTTCATGCTTTGGAAAGGGGCCGGAAGGGAGACGCGGACGCGGGGGCGCCACTTTTCGTGGCGTGCTGGGATATGTAAAGATGGCAGCCGCCGTGCATGACTTTTCGAGATGTCTGAGACTTTAAACCACCTTGGGGCTTCTGTAACTGTGCTTTTCCCTTTCGACCTCTTGCTTTTTCTTCTACTGCACGTCCGACGACCAGCTCGAGGGTGATTTTGTCCAGCGATTTCAAGATGCCGATCAAGCAGCATGGCCGTCAGTACGACTTGGTCGTCTTTGGCGCCACGGGTACGTGCAAGTTGATGAACTGTTTGTGAAGTGATGATGCAACATGTACTTTTTGACAAGAAGCCAAGCGCTGACAATAGCCTGTAGGATACACTGGAAATTTTGTCACGGAGCACATTACAACACACCTGCCATCCAACTTGAAATGGGCGGTGGCAGGCCGCTCAGAGTCCAAACTTCGTGGCCTCGTTGCAGAGTTGAAGAAGTTGAATTCCGATAGAGTGCAGCCAGGTGAGCCAAGGATTTTGAGTTCTCATCACATCAGACGGGTGTCTGATTTTCCCAGGGAGTTCTCCAGCCAAGCGGCTTGGACGTTCCCCTCCCTTGGGTGTTCATCAGAATGAATACCATTGCACGCCAAAAGAAACCGGAAACAGGTGATTACACGGCGTAGCGTGGGAGGCAGCAGAGTGATGACGGAGTGTTCTGAGGGGTTGGATCCTTCATGCGGCTTCATGCGGGCTTGGCGAATTGCTATTCGTGCATCGCGTATGCAGCTTCGTATAACTGACTGTTACCAGAGATTGAAATCTGCAACCTCAACAACGAGGATCTCGAGCGCATCGTAAAGAAAGCTTACATTCTTATCACCACCGTCGGCCCCTATGCACAGTATGGCGAGCTTGCCTTTAGGGCATGCGCCGAGAATGGCACGCACTACATGGATGTGACCGGCGAGACACCTTGGACCGGCACGATGATCAACAAATATGAAGGTGCAGCCCAGGAGACGGGCGCGATGATGTTCCCCCAGATTGGCATCGAATCCGCCCCGCCAGACCTCGTCACCTGGTCGCTCACGAAGGAGGTCCGCGAGAAGCTCTCGGCCAAGACGGCAGCAGTGACGGTCTCTATCCATCAGCTAGAGTAAGTCAAGTCCCCATCATCGCGTGCTGAAACATTGACAAACGTCGCTCTAACGCCGAACCTTTCGATAGTTCGGCTCCGTCTGGCGGTACCCTGGCAACGGTACTCGGCCTGTTTGAGTCATTCTCCATATCGGAGGTGAAAGCGCAGCACAAGCCATATGCTCTCTCGCCAGTGCCCAATCGCAATAAGGTTCAGTCGCAGAAGTCCCTGCTGACCAAGTTGGTGGGATTGTGTAACGTCCCAAACCTGGGACTGATGACTACATCGATTGCCGGGATGACGGACACGCCCATCGTCCAAAGATCGTGGGGCCTCATGGCGTCGCTGCCGTCGCGAGAGAAGCAGTTTTACGGGCCCAACTTTTCGTTCCACGAGTACATGAGAGCGAAAGGCTACCTTCACGGCATCGCCGTTCACTGGGCGCTCGGGTTCTTTGGTCTGCTCCTCGCGACGATGCCGCCGTTTAGGGCGTTGGCCAGGCGGTTTGTTTACGAGCCTGGCCAAGGACCTGACAAGGAGCTGGCAAAGAAGGATGAGATTGAGTATCGTGGAATTGCTGTGCCCGACAAGACGTCCAAGACTGGAAACCCGCAGGCATACTGCCGTGCCAAGTACACCGGCAGCATGTATTATTGTGAGTTTTCCGCAAAAGATTTCTCAGAGACGAGTAGCTGACTTGGACAGTGACGGGCATGCTGTTGGCGCAGGCCGCGTCAACGCTGCTGGAGGATGATGTTGACTTGCCCGGAGGTGTTTTTACGGCCGCGTGTCTGGGACAGCCATACATTGATCGTTTGCATGATGTTGGCTTCAAGTTTGAGACTAAGATCTTGGATCAGTAGTGTAAGAGCGTTGTTCCCATATGCGATGGACGAACAGACGCGTTGTGTTCAAGTATGTATCTTGATGTAGTCAATTGTAATCATGCGCAAGGTTCAACTTAGTTTCCGCTGTGAATCATGATGATGTGAAGAGAATGATTCTGCTGACTCGGTTTTCGGTTGGTTGTCCGGAAGTTGCACGGTGGACGACGGAAGAGTGTGTTATTCCGGCGGCTCTAACAAAGAGTATTAGCAAATGGAGCGATCGTCGCTGTCATCCGCGTTCCTGGATCCTCTGATACTGATAGCGTATGTATAGAAAACACGTTTATGCACCTAACTTGCTCTAAGTAGCGATAGCTGCAACCCAAGGTTGTCGTTTGCCAGGGGCATGATGACAGCTCAGGGGTTGTTGTAGCTTATCCACACAGCTGCAGCAGCTAGCTAGCTGTTGGGAGGGCGCAAATATGACTCGAGGTAAGCGCACTATCCGGTTGCACTTTCAACGACGAAGAACACAATGAAATGCGTCTTCGAAAAGTCGAGTCGTGATGATTAGAAGGACAGCAGGTTCCCACAGTGGATGGGTGCCTCCGACACAACCGACGGGAACCTAAGCTGCCCGCCCAGCGGCGGCAGTGGTCGGGTAATTGGCGCACCGAATGCAGCTTTCCCCGCAAAATACAGCAGCCCACAGCTAAGAGACAGGCTTCTGGAGCACCAATTCGTGAAAACTGAGGACGTCATCAGACATGGTGACTGCAAATCCAGCACCCGGCCGGACCCAGCAGCTTTGTCGCTTCCACACAGCAATGACCTCCCTCCCCCAGACACCATCGAACGACCCAATCGCCAACAAATAAACCCCCTTTGCGATATGCGATAACACGATCGGCTTCCGACCACTTCCATCATCCAGGTCTCACGACTCTTTTTTCTGTCTTTCATTTAGTGATACCCCTTGAGCGACGAGGCGAAAGAAAAAAAAAGCCGGAGGGAAGAAAAATAAGAAAGCTTGCAGAGATGGATCAGACGACAACAACATCACCAGCCGGCTCGGCCTCGGCCACCGAGAACACGCCACTCCTCCCGACGACAGAGAACCGCCCCAAGTCGGCGCGAACAGTCACATTCAACCCGAACCCCGTCTCGAAGACGATAGAGCCGGAGCCAGACGTCCCGCGGCCGCGGACGAGCCACAACGCCCTCGCCACGAGTCCCGGCCAGAGCTCCGCCATCTCCGCCATCAACAGCAAGCTGCGCCGGAGGAACAGCCACGGCGCCGTCCCCAGCCTGCCGGCCCAGCTGGTGCCCAAGATCGGCCCGCAGCGAAGCACCAAGAACGCGCAGAAGCTGAAGCTACTGCCCGCGCCGGAGCTGGGCGAGGAGAGCCCCGATGAGGAGAGCGGCAGGGACGTGTACTCGCAGTACACGCGCATCAAGGACCCGACGGCGCGAAGGGACGCCGCGCGTCTCGGCAAGGCGGACCGCGACAGGTTGCCCCGGGTGACGGCGTACTGCACGGCGAACAAGTACCAGATGGAGGGCCTGATGCGGTTCCTCAAGGGGCGGGGCAAGTCGAGGGGCGCCAGCCCTAAGCTGATTGACGAGTGCATCTACTCGGCCTACGACTACAGCAAGACGGTCGAGAACAGGCACGACCGCCGCGTGGGTGCGCAGCCGGACCCCGTCCAGGCGTACGAGAGGCGGCACTCGACGGGCGATGTCTCGGATAACGGCTTCCACCGAGACAACCTCATAGACCTGCACTCGGAAGGCCGGCACGACTCGGGTTTCGCTGACGGGTACGACGGCGGCAACGAGACCGCCATCGTCGGGGAGACGAATCCCGACTTCGACACGCAGGTGCACACCCCCGAGGTGTTCCTCTTCGACTACGGCGTGGTTGTGATATGGGGCATGACGCTGGCCCAAGAGCAGCGGTTCCTCAAGGAGATTGCAAAGTTTGAGACGGAGAAGCTGGCGCCGGACGACGTCGAGACGGAGCATTTCAACTTTTACTACACGCGCGAGTACCAGGCTCGTATATACAATGACTTCATCACGCTGCGTGACAAGAGGAATTACATGACCAAGCTGGCCATCTCCCACGCGCTGGCGCAAAGTGTCAAGGTACGTGCCATCTGATCTAGCTCTAATGTCCTGATGCTGACCCGATACAGACATCCCTTTTCGAGGAGTTGATAGCTTCAACCGTCGACACCTGCAAAGACATCCCCACACAGATCGCGCTGACGGGCAAGATCGCTCTCAGCCGGACGCAGATTAACATGCAGATCGGCGAGCTCTTCATCCTCCGCATCAACATCCACCTCAACGGCTCCGTGCTCGACACGCCGGAGCTCTTCTGGGTCGAGCCGCAACTCGAGCCCGTGTACCAAGCCGTCCGTAGCTACCTGGAGATGGACCAGCGTGTCGGTCTCCTGACGGAACGACTCGATGTCATTGCCGACCTGCTGGCTGTGCTGAAGGACCAGCTCAGTCATGGACATGGCGAGAAACTAGAATGGATTGGTGAGCTCACCCTGATGGCCCTGCTGATATCTCACAGCTAACACAACGCGCAGTAATTGTACTCATCGCGGCTGAAATCGTCGTCGCGGCCATCAACATTGTGGTTGACTTGTATGCATCGGACTAGCAATATGGACTGTAGGCACTAGGAGTAGGGTTTCATTCATGGTTGGGATGGGAAAAATCAGTAACGAGACGTAATCACAGAGGACACACAGAACACCTGGAGTTCAGTTGAGTGCATAGAAACGGAGCTTCACGGCGTCAAAAGTGCAAAGAGTGTTGAAGAAACTGGAAACCGCCCGCCCCCTATATCTGGAGCTATTGATGTTTTCGCATAGTGTACAAATAAATGCGAGAGCCCTCTACGCCAAAACCTGAACGCCTGATAATTGAGCAACCCGCTTCGTCGAGACGGCTCTATTCGTCCGCCTTGTCGTCCTTGTCGTCCGCGGCTGGCGTCTCCTCTGGCTGCTCCTCCGTGTCGTAATTGGTCATTTCCACGTCCTCATCTTGTGAAGCTGCAGGGACCTGATCTGGAGTCTTTTCGCGCTCCTCTTTGGGCTCGGCGCTCTTGCTCTTTGCGGCAAAGGCGTCCTTCTCCTTCTGGTACTTGGCCATCTCCTGGTCGGAACGGGCCTGGAACTCTTCCTTTTCAGCCTCGGGCAGGTCCTTCCAGGCGCGCGCGAGCTCCTCGTCGATGTTGAGGTCAGCGTCGTCCTTCTTCTTCTCCTCAAAGGCGGGGCGACTGTCGCTACAGAACAGCTCGAACGCGTTGCCCGGGCGCTTGGGCGGCTTCGCGACGCCGTTCGTACGAGCGGAGGCCTGGGACTCGGCAGCGTGGGCGTGGGAGAAGGTCTCGGAGCTCGGGGAGACGGTGGCGGCGTTCTGGCTCTGGGGATTCGGCGAGTCGTTCTTGGCGGCGGCGTCAATCTCGGCCAGGACCGAGGGCTTACGATGTCCGCGTTTCGTACGCAGAGGCTTCTCTTGCGGCTGAGATGGTGTCAGCAGTCTGCTTTGTCGTCGAGGTGGGCTTGGCGGAGGGCCTACTGTCGGAGGTGGGCTCGGGCTGCCGTCTGAATCCTCCACGTTTGTGCTGGTTCTCTTGGCGAGCTGCTCGAGCAGGAAGGCGCGCTCCAGACGCATCTTTTCGACCTGGCGTTTGATACGGGCGAGGCGCACGCGGGTCGCGTCGTTCTCCTCCTCGACCTCGTTCGTGCGCTGCTTAAGCTGGATGCATTTTCTTCGGTACGCCTCCTCGACGGAGGGTGGGAGGGAAGGCGGAATGGCTGAGAGGTCGACGGCGGGTGGATTAGCTCGAATAATCTTTTTCGGAGGCATTGTGATGTTGGGCGACGGACGCGCGGGAAGGGCTGGGACGATGCGAATCTCGTGGGGTTGTAGTTGGATGCAAAAAATCAATCCGGACAATGGCTGTTTCCTTTTCTTTGCGGGCAAGGACGGGTCAAGGGAAGAGTTGCGACAGGATGGGATGGGGATGGGGTTCGCAGCGGATGTCGAGCGGAGCTTTTACGAGCTTGCTTGATTCAAGGGAGCGCGGATGTGGACGGGCAGGAGGACATTGAAGTGACCAACGTACCAGATTGCGGAGCCATTGTGGTTTTTTTTTTATAACGGAAGGTACAATGGATGGTACAAGGAAGCTTCCTTTACCTGCGTGCGCCAAAAAGCGGGAGAACCTAAGGGTAGATTGAGTTGAAGCTTGAATGGGACGCGAATCTGAAAGGACGGGGGAAGAGACGGGAGGTTGAGCCAGCCGAGACTGCGACTACCTTAGTATGTAAGGCACCTCAGGTCGCTCGCTATCGAGCGAGCAGCGTGATCTGAGCGACGGGACGGGATTGTCGTCAGGACCAACCAGCCGATTGCGCCAATCCAGTGCCAGCTGGGCAGTGCGAGGCTGGCAGCTGCTGTCTTACACCGAAGCAGAAACAGTGGAGGGGAGCAGGGGGGTGGGCCACCTGCCGGGGTGATTGAATAACACCCGCTGCTTACCTTACCTTCAGGTGCCTGGGCTGGATAATATGGGGCTGCCCGACTGCACCTGAGGAGGTAAACTGTGGTCTGGGGAATGTCATAGAACCAAGACTGCCAGACGGTAGAATTGACGACAGAGCAGTATCTACAACTACTGAAAAATGCTCAAAATAACACCAGACAATTCTTTATGTTATAAAATGTCCGTGTAGCAATTTGACTGTAAAACTCTGCTTAAGACACAATGACCAGAAACTCTCTTGCGTGGTAGAACACTGAAGAAACGCTGCGTCGCTGGAGACACGCCCGAGAATTAGGCCACTCCAGTTGCGCCGGATCGGATCAATAGCACGCCTGCAGCGTCGTGATTGGTCATCTCCCACTCCAGCCCACCAAGGCTGCAGCACACGCTCCCGCACTGCACCCAGACTTTTTTTTTGAGTCTGGAGGAGCTCCCGCAACCACATCGTCGACATTCAGGGTACTTCCACACTGTTACGAGCGGCGAGACTGACACAACCCTGATACCCAAACCGTACCTGGTCGTCAGTCCATCATGTCTCTCAACATCCCCAACGCCCCCAATGCGGGCCTGTTCAAGCAGGGGTACAATAAGTGAGTCTCTCCTATCTGGAGTGAAGCTTCCCCGCCATCCCACCGTCACCGACTGACCTCCCTCGCAACAGCTACGACTCCGAAGATGGAGCCGTCCTGCGGAACATCGACGCCTGCCGCGCCATCGCCTCGACCGTTCAGACCTCTCTGGGCCCCTACGGCCGCAACAAGATCGTCATCAACCACCTTCAGAAGATGATCCTCACCTCAGACGCCGCCACCATCCTCAGAGAACTCGATGTCGTTCACCCCGCCGCCAAACTCCTGGTCATGGCCAGTCAGCAGCAGGAGGCCGAGATGGGCGATGCCACGAACCTGGTCATCGTCCTTGCCGGCGAGCTTCTGCGGAAGGCCGAGGATCTGCTGCGCATGGGCCTGAAGACGTCGGATATCGTCACCGGTTACGAGCGCGCCCAAAAGTTCGCCCTCGAGACCCTGGAGGAGCTGTCCGTCGACAAGGTTGAGGAGATCCGCTCTCAGGAGGAGTTGAGCAAGGCCATCCGCACCGTCATTGCCAGCAAGCAGAACGGCAGCGAGGACTTCCTGGCCAACCTCACCGCCGAGGCCGTCCTCGCCGTCCTTCCCAAGAACCCCGTCGGCTTCAACGTCGACAACATTAGAGTAGTCAAGATCATGGGTGGCAGCTTGGAGCAAAGTCGTGTCGTCAAGGGTATGGTCTTCCCCAAGGAGCCGGATGGATCGATCAAGAAGGCCCAGAAGGCCAAGGTCGGTGTCTTCTCCTGCCCCATCGACACCAGCCAGACCGAGACCAAGGGCACCGTCCTTCTCCACAACGCCAAGGAGATGATGGACTTCACCAAGGGCGAGGAGTCTCAGCTCGAGGCCTCCATCAAGGAGCTCCACGACGTCGGCATCAGGGTGGTCGTTGCCGGCTCCACCGTCGGCGACCTGGCCATGCACTACCTCAACAGATACGGCATTCTCCTCATCAAGATTCTCAGCAAGTTTGAGCTGCGAAGAATCTGCAGAGTCGTCGGTGCCACCCCCCTTGCCCGTCTGGGCGCCCCCATGCCCGACGAGATGGGCTCAATCGACGTTGTCGAGACCCTCGAGATCGGCGGTGACCGTGTCACCGTCTTCAGACAAGAGAACGAGGTCACAAGAACAGCAACCATTGTCCTGAGAGGAGCTACCCAGAACCACCTCGACGACATTGAGCGTGCCGTCGATGACGGCGTCAACGTCGTCAAGGCCATCACCAGAGACCCCCGCCTCGTGCCTGGTGCGGGTGCCACCGAGATCCAGCTTGTCGAGAGACTGAACGCTCTCGGTGAGAAGACCCCTGGTCTGTCGCAGTACGCCATCAGGAAGTACGGCGAGGCTTTCGAGGTTGTCCCCAGAACGATTGCAGAGAGTGCCGGCTTGGACGCAACCGAGGTTCTCAGCAGACTGTACATGGCGCACCACAAGAAGGACGACTGGGCCACCGGCGTCGATATCGAGGTAAGACGGCCCGCCGAGACTGCGTGTGACCGCGATGCTGACAATTGCAGAACGACGACGGCAGCGGCACCCTTGACGCACGTGATGAGGGTATCCTCGATTTGCTGGTTTCCAAGTCGTGGGCCGTCAAGTTGGCTACCGAGGCGGCTCGGACTGTTCTGTCTGTCGACCAGATTATTGTGGCTCGCCAGGCGGGTGGCCCTAAGCCTCCTGGCCCCAATCCCGTGAGTTTTTGCGACGGCCTGCTTGCTGGACAACATACTGACCTGCCACTTAGAACTGGGATGAGGACTAAACGGGATAAAAAGGGGACTGGTAATGGAGTTCATGTCGGTTTTGATGACCATAGACTACGTCAAAAATCACGTCGAGATATCCCGAATAGATTCCTGAAGACAAGTGCTAGTGCCCTGTTGCGACTCGGTGATGTTTCTCAGCCCTCTTATGTTTTGGCTCTGGTTCGTATCTGAGGTTATTGTGAATTTGACGATGCTGCGGCGGGTGGAGTCGATATGCCGCATCACCATCGCGAACTACCATATCACCAGACGGGATGAGATTCACTAACCTCGACAGAACACGATGTATTCACCTGGAACACTCGCAGACTGGACAGCTATATAAACTGCCGTTCTCTGCTCCCTAATGCCAATCATCATAACAGCACAACACAACACAACGGCATCAATTATACTCCAACACCTCATACCTACAAACACTTCACAACTCCAACACAACTCTCCACACTCTGCCAAACATGATTTCCAACTACATTCCTACCTGCAGCAAGGGCCCCAACGGCGGCAGCTCTGGCAGCGGTGGCTGCACCGGAGGCGGTAACGGTGGTGGCAAGGGCGGCAAGGGCGGCAGCGGATAAACGGAGCCCAGACGCAGAAATGCAGAAGCGTCGCAAGACATCATGACGATGCCACAGTGGTTGGACTAGATGGACTACCGGAGGATGTTTCTCGCTACACAGATGAAGTAGGACACATCAATACAATCACGCAGTCTTGAGTTAAACTTGCTCTTCTTACCTGTACCAATCGTGACAAGCTAGCCAGCCAGGCGAGCACATCTTGGTTTCTTTCGACGCTTGCGCCCCCTTATACACTCGTCATCTTCAACGTGAGCACTTCCTTGGCTGAACCAGGCCAAGCCGTTGCCGGACATTGGCGTTTTGAAGTAGGCTGTGAGGCGAGGAAGGGAGTGACGACGCTTGGCCTTTTTTTCTCAAATGTCAAACTGGCACCACGCAACCAACCACCACGCAACTCCCCGCGGACTAACACAACCACTCCGCAAGTCTGAGTTCCAGTTCACCTTAACCCTCGCTGCCGCGGAGTCTCAAGTAGTACCTTAAATGCCAAGTTCGTCACCCGCATCGTGGCTCATTCACCTCTTCTACGGACTCTGCCATTGAAATACGCACGGGGCGCTGTACCGATCATGCATAGCCAACCCAAGCCCGACGGAACGTTTCTGCAAGGTCTGTGTTGCGTGAAAGGCCGTCCGTCCCTTTTCTTGGGTGAGACCGGGCCAAGTCCGCTTTCCCCGGGGTAAATCGGCATGGAGAAGTTGGTGGCCATGGTAGTGTAGACCGGAGAGTTTAAAGAGCTGCGTCTCCTCCTCCCCGCATCGTCAATGTCTCAAGTTCTCTTCTTTGGGTGCAGCTCGCATCACATCTCGCAACCACGCAGGGGAAATCTTCAGACAAAGATCTCCCCGTATGTACCCCTCGGCCCGATCATCAGCTGTTTTCTGTTTCTCCCCTTCTTTTGTTTCTGTCCATTTTGTTTCTCCCTCTGCACCTACACTGCCATGTAGGCTTTTAGGTAATGGAAATTAGCAAAATAGATCATGCTGCTCCGTACGCTTGGGACTCTTCTGCTCCGGGCTGCTGGGGTGACGAAGAGTATGGATGAAGCGGCAGGAGGCGGCAGCAGCGGCGTCGGAAACGTCGAAACTTCTCAGCCATGTTCTTCTCATGGAGCATGCCATCTTAAATAGTTCAGATGCCGCTCTGCGGGAAAACAAGAGAAAGATAAGCCCCATGCTTCTTCGTCGATCGGTTTCCTTATCATTCTGCATTCCGTTCGTTCTGGGCCCCTTTCGTACTTCATTTACACCATGTGCGGAATCACGGCGACCATCGCCCTCGGGCAGGTTAGCAAGACCAACGGCCATCTGAAGAAGGTGGACAACAGCCCGCTCCGCAAGGAGCTGGAGGAGAGCCTGAAAGCCATTGCCCACCGCGGCCCGGACGCCTCCGGGGTCTGGATCAGCGACGATGGTGCCATTGGTGAGTCCTACACCATATTAGAGTGACAAAGCACTCAACTGACCACCGCAGGCCTGGGCCACTGCCGCCTGGCCATCAACGACCTCTCCCCAGACGGCGTGCAGCCGATCCACAGCGACGACGGCAAGATCCACGCCGTCGTCAACGGGGAGATCTACGACCACGACGCGCTGCGGGAGCGGTGCGTGGACCTCGGGTACCGCTTCAAGGGCCACTCGGACAGCGAGGTGCTGGTGGCGCTGTACAAGATCTACGGGACCTGCTTCTTCGAGCACCTGCGCGGCGAGTTCGCGTTCGTCGTGTACGACGAGACCACTGGCCGCGTCGTCGTCGCGCGCGACCGGTTCGGCATCAAGCCCATGTTCTGGACGATCCAGGACAAGGGCGCCGCGGGGAAGAGGCTGCTGCTGACCTCGGAGATGAAGGGTTTCAAGGCGCTGGGCTGGGAGCCCGAGTGGAACGTGTTTGGGGTGATTAGCGGCAACGCGATGCAGAACGACAAGACGTGCTTCAAGGACGTGTTCAAGCTGGAGCCGGGCACGTACATGGAAATTGATGGGGAGGGGGAGATGAAGACGCATCTGTACTGGAACCAGGAGTTCAGGGATAAGGTGAGCCGAGCTGCTGCACACTGGTTGTATGTGGAGAAGATGCTGACTTATAGCAGCGCGAGGTAGAGACTCGCAGCGTGGATGAGATGGTCCTGGGCGTGAGGGAGCACCTGGTTGACGCGGTCAAGCTCCGCCTCCGCGCCGATGTGCCCGTTGGCATTTACCTGTCAGGAGGTATGAACAATCCCCTTTCTCACTCGGGACGCCGCTGACAACCCTGAAGGAATCGACTCCTCCGTCGTCGCAGGCATCACGACGAAACTGGTCCACGAGGGAGGCGTCAAGCTCGGTAACCAGGACGCGACCAAGAGAATCACTTGCTTCACGATCCAGTTCCCAGAAGCGTCAGGCTTCAACGAAGCCGGTGAGTCCCCCCTATTCCCTCAAACATCACACCATCACCGCTAACACAACAAACCCAGACATCGCCGACCGCACAGCCGAATGGCTCGGCGTCCGCATCCAGAAGAAGGACATGAACGAGGCCGAGCTCGCCGCCCACTTCACCGACTCGGTCTACCACAACGAGCACCACACCTTCGACCTCAACTCCGTCGGCAAGTTCTGCCTCTCCACCCTCCCCCACGCCGCCGGCATCCCCGTCGTCCTGACCGGCGAGGGCGCTGACGAGCACTTCGCCGGCTACCCTTTCGTCCTGCCCGCCTTCCTCATGGAGGGTGACCCCTCGTGGCCGGCGTCCCCGCTCAACGACGACGCGACCCGCGTCGCCATGTTCACCGAGATGCTCAAAGACATCAAGGACATGTTCGACAGCATCGGCATGTTCGAGGACGACGCCTCCATGGCCGCGCTGCGCCTCGAGCCTGAGTGGGACGCCTTCGCCCCCTGGGTCCGCGACGTCTACGTCGCAAACGTCTCGCACGACCCGCCTCTGTCGCCCGAGGTCATCGCCAACATGAAGGAGCGCTGGCACGCGCTGCACACCAGCCTGTACCTCTACACCAAGGGTCCGCTCGCCAACATGATCCTGACCTGCCTCGGCGACCGCACCGAGATGGCGCACAGCGTCGAGGCCCGCCCGCCCTTCCTCGACCACCACCTCGTCGAGTACGTCAACGCCCTCCCGCCCAGCCTCAAAGTCCTGTGCGCAGAAGCGGCGACCGCCGCAGAAGGCCAAGACGGCACGGGGTCCAGCATGTGGTGGAAGTCGCACGGCACGGCGCGCCAGCGCCTGATCGAGAAGTGGATCCTCAAGGAGGCGGCCAAGCCCTTCATCACGCAGGAGCTGTACGAGCGGCGCAAGCACCCGTTCTCGGCGCCCGTCAAGTGGCCCCGCGGCGGGCCCATACACTCCAAGATGTGCGAGATCCTCACCGAGGAGAACGTCGACCGCCTCGGCTTCCTCGAGTGGGCCAACGTCGAGAGGTGGCTGGAGCAGGGCTTCGGCGATGACGCGAGCCCGAGGGCGTTCCGCAAGCTCATCTGCGCGGCGTCCTGGGTCGTGCTCTCGCAGCGGCTCGGGGTGAAGAGGGCGACTGTCGCCAAGTAAGTGGAAGTGATTTCGAGGTTAGTTAGCATTTTGGGTATGGGTTATGGAGGGGAGTTTTTGGCGTCTGAAAGACTGGGAATACACGGTGGTCTCATGATGCTGCCAATTTGGGACGGCTAGATGCTTCGTTGTAGGCATATTTATGATTACGTTTTCTCTCTTCAAGTGTTCTTCGGACATTCTGCTGTGAAAGAATTGAGACGAGAGTGGATGCAGCAGTTGATCGAGGACTCACCAAGCCATTGACAAGAAGTCAATAAAGACACATCATGTCACCAAAACACCCGAGTTGTGGCATGTCAACAGCAAGGTGTATATTGCTCGTAGCTCCCGCACGTCGGCTCTGGCCGTTCCCAATCATGTACAACAAGAAGCGTACTTTTTCGCAGCCGAAATCCCTCCTTCTTATCCCCATCCAATACATGACCATCCCCTCCCTCACTCCGGCATCAGTGACATGACAAACGCGAAATTACAAAACTGCAAGTCCTATCGTGTAGGACGACGATAAACAGGTGTCTCATCAGACGGGCGTAGACAACAGGGTGTAGAGAAGAGAACGAAAAAACAAGTGTGGTATCTTTCCGGGCAAGCATGCGCTGCGGAGCGGTAAAGACGTAGCAGAAGCAGCTATATCGGTGAAAAACAAACAAGTGTGCTGTAGATCAGGGGTATGATGGTGGAAAAGACAAGCCATGCCGGGTAACGACCGTAAGAATACGTCTGTCCCCAGGAACCGATGCGCCGCCGCTTGGTCGTCCAAACGTCTAAGTGTTCCCAAAAAGCCAGCCATATAAAACAAGCAAGTCGGGAAGGAGAGCTATCTAGGCCTCTTCCATGATGCCGCCCTCCCCGCCTCCTTCCTCTCGCCACTCGCGGCTCTTTGATGTGAGCTTCTTCACGCCGGCGACCCGACCGGCCCACAGAGACTCAATGGGCGTCCGGAACGTGAAGGCGCGTTGGGAGCTGATGACGCCAATAGCCTGCAGCACAGCCTTGCGGCTGTCGCGGCCAAACACTGCAGGGTGGCTGATCCACTCGAGACTGCTCTCGAGCTCGGAGTCGAGGGCTGCAACGGTGTTGGCATCGATGCCAGCCCCGAGTCCGAGACCATCGTTTGAGCGGCTGCGGCCGATTGCTGCGGTAGCCGAGTACCCGTTGGCAGCGGAGGAGTTGGCAGACTGCGTTGGCGATGGGGATTGCTTCCTGTCGGGGGTAAGTGAGGGAGAGCCCTCGTTTCCGGGATGCGGAGTAGATGGGAGGGACCTGTTTGGCGGGGCGCCCGGCGGAGGGATCGGAGGAAGACCACCCTTTCCAAGTCCCTTGAGGATAGAACGGGTTTCGTTCAGTAGGGTGTGCGCTCGGTCGTGCTGGCCGCGCGACACGAGGGTCAAGGCGCGAGTTAGCATGTCCGACGTAAGCAGCTCCATGCGCCGCTGGACGATATGCGGGTGAGGGGGAATGGGGGGCGAGTTTGCCCACGATTCCTTTCGCTTTGCCTGAGCAGGGAGCATAGTGATTGCGAGCAGAGAAGGGCGGGGAAGATGAGAGAGAGTGCCGTCTCTCAAGATGTCTCCCCAAGTGAGGTCCGCCTGGATAAGCGGTACCTCTTCGACGGAAGTGATGCGTTGGTCGTCACCGTCCGCGGCGCCGCCCAGAGCCTCCAATCCAGAGACGATGTTGTCCCAGGGGTCTTGCGGGAGCTGCTCCTGCGAGGTGTTGTCTGGCACGATGACGAGTTGCACTAGGACATCACGCTTGTCGCCGAACCTAAGATCGCCCAGAGAGGCCTCAGCGTCGCGTCCAGTAGCCCGCTTGGTAATCTGCAAGGCACCAGAGATCTTGTGGAACTTGGCGGGCGATCCTTCCGGTAGCTTGAGCTTGAGCTTCACATTCTGGTGAGAGAGGGTTTGCATGGAGCCAAGGCAGCCGGCAAGACACTCGCGGAGCATCATCCAGTCCTTGACGTAAGTGTATGACGCCTTGGTGCGAGTCGAAAGCTCAATCATCGTGTCGGGCTTGTGAGTCATGCCCAGGCCGAAAGAGTGGATGGTGATCTTTGCAGCCTCAGCACGCGACACGACAAAGTCGACGCTGTCTGCGTCGGAAGTCGATGCATCGCTGATGAGCATGATGGTAGCAATCGGGTTGTTGTACTTGCGTTGCATCAGCAGGTCCATGGCGACGTTGGCGCCCTCGACCACGTCGGCGCGATGGCTCTTCTGGCCTACCGGCTTGATAGAACCGAGGACGTTGCTCCAGCCAGGCCAGGCCTTGGTCGTCATGCCCACGATGGGCACGCCGCCGCCACCAGAGCCAAAAGTGACGAGACCCATTCTGTCCCGCTCGCCAAGGGTGTTTACCATGAATTTGAGCGCGTCTCGGACCAGGTTGATCTTGACGCCCTGCATGGAGGACGAGATGGGCACGACGACAACCACGTCGATGGGCACGTGAACAGACGCGGGCATTGTCGGGCTTCTCTGGAAGTTGGTGTACTCTGTCGGCGCAGTGGTGACGGACTTGGCTCCGCCCCATGATGAAGCGACGGAAGACACTCTCTGCTGCCGCGAACCGCGCTGCCATTCTTCTTCCTCCGTCTCCGAGAACTCGCCCCGGTCATATTCCGGACTGCGGACAGGCGACGTTTCAACGGCGTTCAAGTCGAGCAGGGCCTGGTGCCACAGCTTCAGCTGGTTGCGGTTCTCAAAGCGGAGATGGAACTGCGGCAGTTCGGCCACCGAGAGGTTTAGCGTGAGGACGTTCTCATCGACTATTGAATGATTAGCGCCAGATCCTTTGCGAAAATGAGGGGCACTCACTATTACCCGTTTCCGAGACCTCGTTGAGGTGCTTCTTGATGAGAATGGATCCTTTGAGTGTGCACTTGGTGGCCTTCTTGGGCATTCCGTTCTCGTCCCACTGCCCCGGCACGGGCACCTTCTTCTCCTTCACGCAGATCAACATCTCAGCGAACAGGAAGCATTCCAGCTCCTGCCAGGACGCCTTATCCTTGCCGACACGTAGCGTGCCATACAGTCGCAGTTTACCGAATCTGGTGGTGGTCAGTACTCTAATTGGCCAGCGCGAGTCGCTTGATAATCTCACCTGCTGAAATCGAGCCCATGCCAGTTGTCGACCCGGTTTCTGAGGTTCTCTGTCATTTCCTCGAGCACTTCGCGTGACTCGTAGGGGTAAAAACGCGGCGCGCTGCGGGCGGGGGATGGTGGCCTGGCAAACGCCTCGTCGATTCTCGCATTCACGGCTGGAGGCCCGGGAGGGGCAGATCCCAAGTCTTCGGGATCTGGCCGCCATTTGTTGTCGGGCACTTCGACGGTGATCAAGCAGGTCAATGTCTGCTGCGTTCGAGACCTGTTGATGGTGGGGAACTCGGATCGCACCGTGACCGTCGGGGCGGGTATCGGGTTTCTCGTGATGGCGCGCGGGCTGCCTGGCGTGGTCTCCATTGCCTGGACGTCATAGTCGTGTCTCCGCGGCGGGCCGCTCTGCGTCGTCTCAGGGTATCCTCCGGATGAGGCGACGCCGGTGGCCCCGGTGGCCTCACTGTCGCTACGCGCATGTCTCGAGGGGCCGTATCGTTCTGAGGTAGGTGGCTGGCTGCTTTCTCTCTCACGCCCGGTACTCCTTGGCAGGCTTTCGCGAGTGTGCGTGCTGGGCATGTTGCGCTGATTCGACTCGATGCTGGTGGGGCGCTGCGGCGTCGGTGTCGGGTTTTCCCAGGGCTGGGCCGTCGGCGTAGGGGTGTGGTTTGATCTAGTGTCGGTAGATGAGACAGATCGAACGAGGTTGCTGATTTTCTCTGGCGAGTTGAAGATTAGCATTCATTGTCTCAGACAAAGGACAGGCCAAAGCGCTTACCGATATCCAAGACATTGCCGCCCCTGCTAGTGTCGAGATGCAGCGGCGCATCGCAGGAGGGGCAGTACTGCGACTCAAATTCGCGGATGAACTCATAAAAGCATGCCTCGTGCGACACGTGAGAGCAGGAGAACTGCAAGATGCGCTCTCCACGCAGGGTGTGCTCGAGCGGCTCCTCACATACGGCGCACTCGCTCCCTACGAAGGTGCGCTCCCTCCGATTGCGACCGGCGCCGGATGCCATGGTGCTGGAGGAGTAGCTGTCGCCTCGTCGATGTGCCTCCGAGTTGCTGGTTGCTGTCTCAGGTCTGTGAGCCTGCCCGCGAATGGTACCTGCGGCTATTGAGACGTCTGTGAGGAAGAGCTGTCAGCGAAAGTTTGCGCAGAGAGTTTGAAAGCACGGGGAGAGGAGCGCAACGTTGACAGCATGTCAAATTCTCTCAATTGAGGTGGCTGCGCAATGCACTGCGCTCGGAACGGTCTGAAGTCGGCGTTGAGGAGGGGCCCACGTACTCTTTTCAGGGAAAGAAGGTTGTGCATCCGTCCAATCTGTCCAGGTGTTGTTGGATCTCGTAGTGGTGGCGGTTCCAGGACGATAAGGGTCCTTTACCGCCTTGGGGCTCACGATTCCAAAGTCAAGATGGTGGTTGCTGTGGCCGTCCTTGGTGCTGCCTGAGCTTCCAAAGCCGAATGCTTTCGATCCCTTGCGAGACCGAAACATTAGGAATTTGGCGCGTGGTAGAAGGGGTGTTCGGGGTCAGTCGTGCAGGCGAGGGTGGTGGGCAGGCAGGACAATTTAGAGGTTGAGATTGGAGTGTAAGTCGTAAGTTTGTCGGGTCGGCAGTGGGATTGAACCGGTTCGGGGTGCGCGAATCGTGGAATCGTGGAGCTGGGCGGGCTGGTTTGGTTTGGTGTGGAAGAGGGCTGGGCGGGAAGTATATTTTAAGAATGGAAGGTGATATCAGAGCAGCGGCCGGTATACTTCAGTGTAGCAGAGGGGGAGGGGGGCGCGCCTCTGGATCTTGGGTGGGCTCCACCCGCGTGACTGGTCAGGCAGGTAGGTAGACAGACAGAAGTCAGGTATGCAATGCACACTGGACAATGCAGGTGCAGGTGCTGGAGTACCGGCTTCTGGAGTACCTCTGGTGCGGTGTCTGTCTGCAAGGTTGAAGCGCAGAAAGAAGAAAAGAGGCCACTCTCTGTAAGGTGTGCTCTGTAAGGTGAGGTAGGGTAGGCAGTAGGCCAGGTCAGGTCGGCTCCAGGTGGGTGGCTGTGGCGGGTGTCACACAAGGACTGGGACGCCTGGCAGGGTGTTTCAAATGGTTGTATCAACAATGCTGGGCCGAATGGTATGCAGACTGAACTTGCATGATTGCAGGGTGGCCAAGATGGTGGTTGACAGACGGACGGAGAAAACGGGAAAACTGCAGTCGAGAAGAACAGCCGAAAAGTCAATCCAGAGTTCGGCAGAATTGCGTAATGGCTGCACGTCCAGATGCCGTTGCAAGTTCGCGCGTGTTGTCGTCGTCGCAAGTTCTTCTCTTGTTGGATGGACGGTTCGGTAGATGGCGTGTTGTTTCTCCTGAATTTTTTTTCTCTTCCACTTTCTCTTCAGCTGTCTCTTCCTCTTGGATCCTCTCTCTTTCTCTAGCGGTAGCGGTAGTGGTAGCGGCAGCGGCGGCGGCGGCGGCGGCGTCGTGTGCGAATGATGCGTCGTGTCTCGGTCGTAACAGGTGTATTAGTCGAAATGAGTGGGCAGAGAGAGTCAGCCGGTGATGGGCTAGGTGTTGCAGAAGCAGCAGCAGCGATGATTGTCTGAAGCGGCGGACAGGAGCAATTCCGAATTGGCGACAGTGACCTGTGGGATGATGGGAAGACGGGCTTCCTCTTGCGGTTTCCGGTTTCCAAGTAATTCACAGCAGGTCAGGTCGACAAAGAAGACGCAGAGTCGGGGTTTCTTCTGGGTTTGTCTCGTCGGGAGCGCCCGCCAGCACGGTAGGAAAAGGTACTATGTATGGCAGCCGGTCGCAGAAACGGGGAAGGGGCGAAGTATATACTTCTAGCAGCGAGAGAGCAGAACCCAGAGGCAAGAAGCAAGACACTTTTGGCCTGACTTTGACTGGACTGGACGAGGTGACGGGGCGAAGGAAGGGGAGGGAAGACAAGGCAAGGCCAGGTCCCAGGGGCGCCGGGGTGAGGTCGGGTGGGATGGACTGAGATGGGAGAGCCACCACAGAGCCCAGCGAGCGGCCTGTTGTGGGGAGGGGACGAGGGGCCAACCTTCGGTAGGTAGACAGTGGAGGACACTGCACGTTTTCCCTTTTTCTTTGTTGGCTACCTACCTAGGTAAGGTAAGGTACCTGAACCTGGTCTGTCTCTCTCTCCCAGGCACGGCCTGGTACCTGGCTGTACCTGGGATCCTATGTCTCTATCACCGTACCTGTTCCTGTTCCTGTGCCTGGCTAGGTTTTTGGTATCGGTCTTACTAACCCTCCTGCTCCGGCTCTTGCTGCAGGCTCTCACAGCACCCTCCTCACCACTAGATACGCAGTATCACAAGTACATGTGCAGCTACACCAGGGCTAGCATGTAGGTACACTGCCTAGCGTGGGTGGTCTTGCAGATGGATGTGCCCTTGGGCCCTGGAGGAACGAGCCAAGGTACGAAGAACATTGGGGACGATGGCAAAAGGACAGGGTTCCTTTTCCACTAAAATACAGGTCGCCCAGGTCCTTTTTAAGGCAGGTCAGGCCCATGGTCGACGCGAGAGACAGTGTAGCCGGGGTTCCTGGCTCGGCCCAGGCTGATTCGGCCGGGCCCCCTCCTCTTGCTCTTCTTGTTCTTCCTCCTGCTCAACTCTCAACTCTCTGTCTGTCTTGCCGGACATCTTCTCCTATTCACCCTCAGAGCATCTCGTCAGGCACTAAAGAAGGCGGAGGCACCCCCCTTGGGATGGAGAGGATTGACGGCCGTATCTGAGTTGGTGGTGCTGCGTGCGTGCGTCCGGTGGCCCTTCTAGAACAGCGAAAACCCCAGGGTTCAGCACGTATGAGAGTGTGTTTGTGTGTCGAGAAACCGGGAATTCGGACGTGGGCGACATTGTTTGCTCGACACAGTCACGGCCAGAGCCAGGTAGCAGCCAGTGGTGTGTGATTACTCCGTGCTATGCAAGGCCGGGCGATGCGATGGATGACCACACGAACAAACCAAACCAAACCAAACCGCCCAGCTGTGTTCTGCCGGTATGAACGACGGCTGTGCTTGTCTTGCGCGGCGCAGCGAGGGCACTGAGCGCGCGCCGCCCGTTCAGATTGGATGAGATTGGATTGAATGGCGCATGGCGCCGGGCAGGGAGTCGCGGGCCATATCAAAGTTTCCTCGCGAGTGAGATGCGATGGGGAGTGGCCCTCTTTAGCCTTGGGGCCAAACTAACACAGCTCCTGTCCCATATTGTCGTCGCCCTTCAAAGTTTCGCCCTCGTAACTACGGGGTAGAGAGGGCTGCTGGGCTGGGTTGATTAGGTGTACCGTGAGTAAAAAGGTGGCTCCAGGGGAGATGATCGCTCCAGCGTAATCCTAATCCGCCACGAGGTCTCCGTCGCGGAGAATAAAAAGGAGGTGTTGGCGTCCAGGACTTCTCCAGATGCCGGACGAGGGAGCTTTCGATGAGGGCTGCTGCTTCTGTTAGCAGGCAGTGTATCAGTAGACAAGCAACGCAACGTTGGTAATTACGATGCCGTGGTCTAGCACATGGTACTGTGAGATGCTGGATCGCATCATTGGACGGCAGCCCAAGGCGAGGCGGATCTTATTGTTTTAGCGATTCAATGGTCGGGCCGCTTCGCCCTTGTGCTAATGTCCCCCCTCGCCTAACGGTAATGAAGGAAATATGTCAACGGGGGGCGGCGATGGTACTCTCCGCAGGTACTCCGTATCCGTCAGAATAAACCACATAGACCTATCCATCCGTCGGTAGTGCGCCGCAGTCGATTACGTGCCATGTCGGTGATAGTCATTCAAGAAGGAGACAATAGGCAGGAAAACCGGGGCCGGTCCTGGCTGGTTTTGATTGGATTTTCATCTGCGTCACTTCGTCTCTGTACCATCATCATCTTCAGTTAGTGAAAATGGAAATGGCATGTGTGCCTGTCTTTGCTGTGTGCACTTTACCTTTGCATGAGCTGCTTGATTGACAGCCACAGCCACAGAACCAGACAGGGCTGATGAGCCAACTTTGGTAAGTGACCAACACCAACGACAGCCAACCTTGCTCGGGTATGGACTCTCGATGTTTTCCGTTTCTCACCTCCTGTCGTACGGATACCCTTTCTTTCGATTTCTCAGCAGTCATCTTGCTTCTTCTCGCCCTCGTTTCTTCTTACTGCGGCCGTCAAGTCGCTTTTTGGTCGTCGAACCGTGTCAACCCAGACCCCATGAGAGTTTGGCGAGGGGACCGTGCTCGAGAATGACACGCCGGCCGGGGGTCTCGCAGCATAGTACAACTCGCTGACCCCGGTCTGGCTGCACATGTTGCACTCGATCGAGGTACATTCTGCGTACAAATTCTGCAGCCGGTCTGCCACAGTAAGCTCTGGCACCTCGCTTTCTGGCTCTCTTCAGCAAACCCTGCGCGGGGGCCCCGTCGTCCTATGTGCGGTGCATTGCATCTGGAATTGGATGCTCATCACGAACTCGCCGTACGAGAAAAGTCTGGAGAAGGCCTTCCGTCACCACCCCGGGCTTACTGTCTGTGGGTAAAAGTCAACAGCAGGCCTTTCCGAATTGTAGATGATTTGCCCCTCCTTCGTTCGGTGGCGTACCTGCAAAGCAAAGCAAGGCGTGATTCAATGCCTCTTTGAGCTGCCAATGTTCGCAAGTAGGTATGCCATGGCGTGTAAGTGGTGGTGGTGGTGACTGGCTGCTGGGGGGCATTCCCCCGCCAGACTTCATAATGTCGATAGTATTCATACCAACACACATGACGTGTAGCGTCTCAACGCCGAAAGGCAACCAACCTACCTACCTTCTCATCTACCGTGGCTCTTGCATCCAAAGTCAAGCAAACTGAGGTAAAGTACCGGAGGTTGGTGCTTCGCTGCAGGCGAGAGTGAGAGCGTCCTCCGATGCTGCTCTGCTCCAGAGAGACTTGTCCGACCTGGTGGATGTCAGTTACCTGCGAATACAGTGCCAGTGCCAGTGCCATTGCAGTGTTGCCCCCTCGGCGGAGAAGATACCTGCCTCAGCTGCGTGTTTGCTGCGTGTGATCATGTACCTGCGACTCAGGTAGCCTCCACCAGCCAGGGCTCTGGGCCACCGGATGGTAGGTTGGAAATTCGATGCTTGCTCTTCTCAGCCAGTCGCAACCAGGTGCCCCGAACCGGTGTCTTTCCACTTTGCGAGGTACCAAGAGTACGTACCGACTACTGCGTTAGGTAGTAAGGCGGTGGTAGAGCGCAGTGTGGAGCGTTCCTCGACGAGCTGCCCCGCCGTTTACCCCCCGTCCACTAAGGTACCTGGCCCCGGCTGCAAGTGCACCATGAACGCCTCCTTCCCTGAACCCAGCAAGTGCGTCTCTCTCCAGAGGAAGGAAACGGCCGCCTGGGACTTTCCCTCTTGCCATTTGGACCCCAGGCCACTAGTCTCTCACATTCCATCCCACCACCCACCACCGCCTCTCAAACTCCCATCCTGCTGTCGCCTCGTTGAAGCTGTCGACAGAGCC